GAAACCAGCAGATGTTCACAGATCCCTCACAAGGGTTCTCTGTATGACACATTTCCCACAATGCTGAGATAAAATGTCTCAGCTGCGCCCAGACTTTCTGCACGAGTAAGGACTAGGCTTGTCTTTGATGGAGTTTTATATACTGTACATTCTGTACATTTTTGTGAGAAGAAATATATTTCAGGGTTTTGCTTTAATGGCAGATTGTGGATATTTGTGCATGTTGTAGAGTGTGTTTTCGAGGCTTTCCTTATTTCCACTTTAAATAATTTTCTATGCCGTTAAGTCCAAAAGCATGAAATAGAATTAACACCAATATTAACTGCAGAATTTCTTTTCTTAGGGTTGGCTTTTGAATGCTAATGTTACCTGACCTGTAAGCAGCTGTTAAATATAAATGTAAATCAAAACCAGTAAACTAAATTATTTTATAAAATAAAACCAAACTTTTTCTTCTTTCAGTATATAAAACATTTTCTCCTTCCTTTGAATAATTCAGTTGTATCTCTATTACACAGTTATGGCTGCACTTCTCCTTTCGCTCTTTTATTTTCTTCTCCATGGTTCTGCTTTATTAGTGAGACTGTCTTATTCCTGCAACTAAATATATTTTGTGCATTGATGACAATGATACAGTAGAGGCTAAGCTGTGCTGAAATAGATGAGTCCTGTTACACCCATTCTGATTTATCTGGCTCCTTTGCTAATTTGCCAGCCTGAAATCTTTGGCACAATTTCAGACCATGTCTCTGGCAGCACTGGGCCCTTTTTGTTCTTTTTTTGGTGTCTGTCTGTGTCACCGTAGTTGAAAGCTCTTGCTCTGTTTTCATTGCAGATGATGTGGCTCAAACTTGAAGTGCCACAACGTACATTCTGTATCTTAAATCCCACTTTTTTTTTTCTTTTTCCCCTCCAGCTATAAAAAAAGGAAGGAAAGCAAACTGAGGAGGGAAGGTGTTTTGTACTGGTTTCTTGAACTGCACAGACGCCTATCACACATTCCCACAGAGCTTGGAGGTACTTTGGAACACCAGTGTGTGAATGCAGCAGTAGTTTATGGCTCACATCCTCTACTGAAACTACTTGTGTAATTGCAGTCACTCAGAATTGTCTGTCCACTGTGGGAGCTTGGAGTTGTCTGTGCAATTTTCTCCACTTGGTAGCAATTGCTGTATGTGAAGCAAACAGAAAAGGATTTCCTTCTTCTGCCTGCATAAACCAGAAAAAAGAAAATCTGCATAGATTGTGATGAACTAGTATTTGTATTTTTGATGCAAATCTATAATTGTATTATCGTGAGAAATTCCCTATGGCATAATATGCTAAGAAATTACTCACATGACTCCTGTTCCCAATCAGGAGAAATATACTTTAAATGAATGTGTTGCACCTGATAAAATTATTTCTAGATTTGTCTTAGAAAATCCTTAATGCATGTAAAATACAATACAGTTTCTTTAACCTACTAGAGGAACTAAATTAGTAAGACTGCAGATAAACCCCATGGAGAAAGATCGGAGGAATCTCAAACTCCTTCAAGGAAGCTCATCAGTCCAGTACTGTTTTCAGAAAGGAGTTTGGAGTCCTCCTGGAGGCATGGGAACTCAAAAAACAGTCATAGCAGGCCCGAGAAGTTCACATTCATTTTTGCTGGGCTTTGTGTGGAAAAAAACGTTGGTATCATTTGTCAGTGCTCATTTACATTTTTAGGGTTATGTTTTACCAGGAAAGGATGAGAACTTTCCTTTCTCAAAAACCAAAACTAAGTAATTCTTCCTCACTGAACTGTTCTTGGCCTTTGGCAAGTGCTTGATAGATCATACAAAAGCTACACAACAGAACGTCATTAATTTTGTCACAAAACTCAATTGAAATAACTTTGAAAATTTCTATGCATAGACTACAGGTAATGAAGATCCAAAGTATCACATCAAATTCAGATTCATTTATTTTGGTCCTAAAAAGATTTTAAGCAACACTGTACCTATTCCTGTGAGTGGATAATGTATCCTTCAGCTGATTCTTGAAAAAAAAAAAAAAAAAAAATTTACTGGGGTTAGATTTTTAGTGCTTTCTTTTAGTGCTGTTTTCTCCTCCCTTTTTTCTACCTCTATTGATTATTGAAACCTGAGGATTGAACATTCTTACACAACTTGTTTCTTTTTTATATTCACAGGTGTAAGCACAAACAGCCATTACCATGGCATGTTGTACTGTCATAATGTATGTACTACTATGAAACTTTCAATGCAAATTAATTAACATTAATGATCTGGTAACAGAATGATTCATTTTTGAGAGATTACTGACAGCAACTATTGATTATTTGGCTCCAATTCAAACAAGTACTTAAGAACATGCTTTGTCAGGGTCACTTTCTCTCTTGCAGTTAATTTGGATTACAATTTATCTTTCATTAAAGCAAAGTGCTTAAGAAAAGAAATCTCCTTAAAGCATTTGAGAAGAGAAACAGTTTAAATCTCTTTTGACATAAATACTTCCTTAGGAAATGCGTCAGACAGGTTTATAAAAAGATCAAGATGAAAAACTAAGTCTTCAGTACAATCACCATGTGTGCTTTATGGGAAAAAAGGAACCCAAATAAAATTGCCAGATGCAAAGCTGCTTCATCAGCTCACTCAATTTCTAATTTAGAAGGTTATTGCTTCTAATTTAGAGGGTTACTGTAGAACTAGGAAAATAGTCATGGAAAGTCAAACAAGTAAAATTTGTTTCCTAAAGATATTATGAGAATGAGAAGGGAAGGCAGAGTAATTTGGTTTTTAGTTTACTGTGGCCTAAAGGTGATGTTTTCTCCAAATAAGTCCCCTTCAGCACAGGGAGAATATAATCTTCCAAAACTGGAGAAACAGTATAAGACAACATTATTGCTCTAGACATGCCAAGCCCTTCACACAGATTTTCAGCCTCCAGAAGTAGGTGGCAGATCCAGAAGCCAAAGCCAAGGGCACATCAGCTCTGGTGGGTAAAGCCATGGCCACCTGAGCACACATTTGTCCCAGACAGTGGAACTTGACAGCACCCATTTCTTGCACTAGCTAGAGCAAGCCTTGCTGGCTACAAGCAGCTTCCCTTCAAGACTTTCTTTGTGACAGTTTTCAGTTTTGGGGTGGAACAGGTTTCAAGAGTTCCTCAGTTGGTTGACACTGTTGAAGGCCTTGCTAGAAAAAGATCCATAATATGTGTATATATGTTACAATTACATTTGGCATGTCTGAGTTTAGGGAGGGAGGAAGTATTGGTTAGAGGTGCCTGAGTGGCAGCCACTTACTGTTTTGTAGTACTAACTCCTGTTGTAATTCCAGACTTCATTCTCAACACTGACTCAAGTGGTCTAAATGAAGTCCCTCTGTATTTAATTTCTTTATGGCATTTTTCTTCATTAACTCTGTAGGATCACAGTCTGTGAGCCTTCTTCCAAACAATAGCAGTGATGCAGTAGACTTAGTGCCATCAATATCTCAACTGAGATTTATTCTGTTGATTTTGCCTTTAAAGTTTTGTGGCCGAAGATAGTTTAATTCATGCCCTTGGATGGGAAGAGAACAGTAGAAGAGTCTTCATTTCGAAGACTGTGTCTACTGAAAAACTCAGTGCAAGATGAGTGGAAATGAGTAGTAGGAGAGCCTGCAGAATAGGTGACTTATTGAAATTATATCATTTTCTCTCCCCACTTCTCATCACTTTTGGACTAGCTCTTTAACTGAGCTCTTCTATATACTTTCTAATTGTTATTTTTACTTTTTTTTATTTATACAAAAATTATAAACATTACCATTTTACGGTTTTAAAAATATGTGTGTACATAAGACCAGCACCTGTTTGGCAGCAGGAACAAAAGAGATGGACATTAACCCTCTGGATCCAAAGGACTTTGGGAAATGTGCTGCCTGCCCGTGAAGGACAGGTGAGAGTAGCAGGGATTCAAAAGAATGTGAGAGAGAAAAGACAGGGGCACGAGGGAAAGGAAACAGGAGACCAGAAAGAGGGGACTTCAGGCTGAAAGCAGCCTTCACACTTAATTTAACAGGATCTGCTTCAGGGGGAACAGAAAGATACACTCCCCCTCCCCCAGCCCTTTACAACTGCAACATCAGAAACTCCAGTACACAGAAAGGACGTAAACCAGCAAAATCTGATGTTTTAAACATTTGCCATTACAAAAACAGGTTAAAAGGCTTTCTGAAAATGACACCATATGCAAGGCAATAGGGAGATCAGACAACGTCTGTCCAGAGCACAGACCTTTGTCTGGCATTTCTCTGTGGTACCATAGTGCAGCAAGGAATTACCTGTAATAACAGGCTTTGAAGCAATAGATATTTCATTCCTAGGGGGAAGCAGCTCTGAATCTCTGAGTCCAGCACAGCAAACAGATCTTTCTTCAGGCCTCCCAGCCGCAGTCAGAAGTGTATCCATCCCAAAATGAGACTTTGCTTTTTTGGATGGTTTCGCAGAATCTACTTGGAACACAGCTTTTCTGTTTTATTTTATTTTTTTGCCTCTTTTTTGGAAATAACGTCTAATCAGCACATGAAGAAGGCAAGTAAAACTGTCTATTGCATACAAATCACTCATTTCTAAAGATTCAAGGACCACAAGGTATTTTTTAATTTGGGGTACTGCCTTACAAAAAAAATCCCAGAATGCTAATGCTTCAGACATCGTGTCAGACACATCACATCATTCTCGTGGGAGCCATTGTTAGAAAGTTGAAATCATATATCACTTTTCAGTTTAAAAGAGGGGGGTACCAAATGAACAGCCAGAAACAAAACTTGTCAGTTTTGCCCAGAAAACCATTGTTCTTTGCTCACTAAATTAAACTAGGTGATTAGCTTTCAAAGGGATGGGCTCCCACAATATTAAAAAATCAAATACTATCTAGTTCCTTCAATGTCATAAAATCACTATACAGACTGAAAAGCAGAGTCTGCTATAACTTCTTTCTGTCACAAGATAATAATACATTTTCTTACTTCAAGGAATGTGCAGGAACTTCAGCTGTTTCTTTCTCAGGTATGCGCCTCACTGCAGGTGCTTTTGTAGAATGACAGTTTTAGTGCTTCTGTGACATCTTGTTGCTCTTACCAGCCAGGATGTTCATGGTTCTGTGGACCACTTGTGTTCAGCAACAGCCACTAAAATCAGATGGTGGAAAGGCTTATGAGCAGCATTTTGATCAGGAATGACATGACTGTTTTTCAGAACAGAATCTGAACAGATACTACCTCTTGCATTGTTTCATATAACTCCTCCTTTAAAAAGGTATTTTTCAACATTGCTTAGAAGTAAAATTTCCTAATTATCTGTGTGTAAATTTATTTACTCTGAAAAGATATGTATATATATTGCATAACATATACATGAATAATATAATGCACAGCACATTAGTGGATACCAACAGTGGCACGGATTCTACAAAAAGCAACATTTTCTCCAGTAGTTTAGAAATAGTAATTTCTAAAACTAGCACTAATTCTGTTGCCTAATAAAAACACACCAGGAAAACTTTTTGTCAGTTCCACCACATCATTTATTTCAGACTTGCAAAAGTTCATAACTTTTACATCATTTAGTAGTGGTGCAGTACAGTTTTTGTGTATGGGGAAGAGAAGGCTTGGAGTGAATTGGTAGCTAGGAAGGACCTAATGTGGAGCTGCAGGAACCTGCATCATCTCAGCCTGTTGAAAGTCCTTTGCTTTTTGTTAGCAAGTTTACACTTGTGAGTTAATGTAAGAGATGAGTCATCTGTCTCTTACATTTAATCACACTCAGGAACAGTGACATATCCAGCACTTGTGACCTAACTGCAGACACTGTTTTATCTGTGTCACACAAAGTCCTACAATCCCAGAATCAATTAACATGGAGGAGACCTCTGAGATCATCGAGCTCAGTCTTTGAGCGCTGCCATGTCAACTAGACCAAGCCACTGAGTGCTACACCCTGTCTTGTTAAACACCTCCAGGGACAGTGACTCCACCACTGCCTTGAGCAGCCCATTCCAATGTTTAATCAACATTTCTGCAAAGAAATCCCTCCCTATGTTCAGCCTGAATGTCCCCTGGCACAGTCTGAGACTGTGTCCTTTCATCCGTCTCCTGCTACTGGTAGAAGAGCCTGACCCCCATCTGGCTACAACCTCTTTCAGGCAGTTGTAGAGAGTCATAAAGTCACCCTTGAGCCTCTTTTTCTCCAGGTCAAACTGCTTGCTCCCTCACTTGTTCCTCAGAGGACTTACCCTGTAAACTTATTCCTCTTTTTTCCTTCAACAAAGGGATGTATCTTTTGGTTCAAAAGCAAGGATACAAAATCAGAAATAAGTAATTTTTTGAATGAACAGAGGCTGATTGATACAGCAGTGGCAAATTTATTATAGTTCAGCACCAGCAGAAAACAAAAAAAAATAGTAATCTCATAACGTGTATGGTCTGTCTGTTTACAGAGTTGCGGGTGAGAAAGAAGTTGCTCTTTTATCTCTGTTTAATAGATTTACAGGTGCCACAGGTATCTCCATGTTTACATCATACTGTCAAATCTCTAGATCTCTGTGATTAAAAGGACACAGTCTTGTGTATAGTCCAAAAATATTACTTTTAAGTTGAGATTGTGCAAGAGGCACAGGAAAATACTCTGTGGCTCTTGTCATTCCTGATATTAGGCCAAATGGTCTGTTGGTGCCTTCTTAAAATTATCATAGTAACACTTCCCTCATGGAGTGTTACTATGATAATTTTAAGAACAAGGAGACAGGACACAAACTCAAAACAACCTTTGCAAGTTCTTCCAGAAAGACTAAAATGTAAGAATATAAAGATAACAGATTCAGAGTTAAGAGATTAACAGGTTAACCACCTTCTTATTAGCTGTGATGGGTAACTCCAGTCATTTACTTCTGTGGAAACTACATCCCACAGGCTCCTATGAAGCATATTAATTCAGGTACAGTTGTGCAGGGGAATGCAGTTTATACTCTCATAACAGCCTTGGAAATTCCATTATGTTTATAGTCACTGGAATAGTTTCTTAAATTCACTTCTGAACTGTACTTCAATCTGTTTGTTTATTTGATGTCTGGACAAGGGCTTTGATATAAGTATTTGTTTTATTTAGCACCTGCATTGAAACATTAGTTACGTTGCACTGAAGTGTTCCACATGTTTCTCTTATCTCACACTAGTTAAGCAAGAGCATTCACACATTTCCTTAATCCCAGGCATCATAAATCCTTTACAAGATTTCTGTTTCATTGTTCTTCTCTCAGGGGCTTAGCAAAAACAGTCAACATGCACAATCCTTCTCTCCCAAGAGTCCACATGGCTTACAATAAACCCATTTTTGTCTTGTTCTGGAGGGTTTAGTAGTGTTGCAGATTATAAAGTCAGGGAGTTGTGGTAGAGAAGAGTTGAAGTATTCTCCCAAATGGCAGCAAGGACTGATACCAGTCTCTCGCCTGAAAGCCCCTACTGCAGTGTTATTACATACAGAAGTAGCTTTCTACTTTTTTGAAGACTCCACTTCATCAATTGAAATTGTTGTCACAGCAAACATTTTAATTACTTTCATAACAACAGCTAACATTAATTAAACAGCTTTTATTTCTTTAACAAAATAAAAAGTCTGGCCAGAGTTCCTTATTTCTTAACTGTGACTGTGTACATTTAGAAAGTTCCACCTGTTTACCATGTCTACAATATTCCTTTAACTGGGTTTTAACAGTTGAAATATGACAATAGAAAAATGCAAGAGTAAAAATAACTAGTCAGTAATACTTTTATTCAGTAGCTTACTTCTGTGTGTAAGTAGATAGAAGGAACTCCACCTGTGAGAGGATTGTCCTGTTGTCCTCTTATTTACCGACTGAGAAAGCAGCTTTTCAGTGTTCCACTCTGCCATAAATTCCTGCAATAGTTTTTAGGTATTTTTGTTCATTGATAGTCTTGTAAATTTTTAAGGCTGAGACACATAAACATGTCCAGTAAAAAAGTAACCTAGATTTTTTTCACAAAGTTTTGCTTGTTAGGGGCACTTATACATCACAAGAAGGCATGTGCTGTTCTTCATGGTTTCCCAAAAGTTGCTATCCTTTTTCCCTTTTGACCTAGCAAAATCTGTAACCCAAAAATCTGCTGATAAAGTGTGAGATTTTATGAAGCCAGTGAGATTTTACATAGTAATTTCATTATAGTCAAGCACTATAGTCTAGGCAGCCACTCTCAGGCTCATATAGGCTAGTCTGTATTAATCATTTTATGGATCAAATAGTTTTACCTGTGTAAACTACATTAGTACAAGAACTCATCCCACTTAAAGACACTCCACTTTCAGAAAATGCTTTTGTGAAGGTGTTAAAAAAAGGCAAAAGCTCAGCTTCCTTCAAGAGTTGTGACCTCTTGCTGCTACACTGTACTTGCTGGTTATGCCTGGCTCTAAGCCTGTCTGTCTGAGCATTTAGAAGTTCAGCTTATTTCACATTTAAAGTTCTGATGAAGTATCTCCTATCTTACATCTTACAACAGCCTTCTTCTTTTTTTTTTTTGGCTTAATGCAGCAAATAAACTAACTCCAAACCATACCTGCTTCCAAAGCAGTGATGCCAATCCTTAGCTGTAGAATGAGGCAGCTGTTCAATTTCTAAAGCACACCCTGATGCTGTCTTTAGCTAAGTGGAAAGAAAAGATTTCTCAATTCCTTGAATAGTTCTACTAAATATAGACACTTTAATAGTTAAAACCAACAGTTTTGCAAATCTTCTGTGGCAACCAGTGACCAATGTAAAACATCTTCAGTACAAGTATCAGGAAGTGCAGGTATGTTCTGTTGGTCTCATTGTCTTATGAGTTGCCTTAAAGTGAACCTTTTGAAGTTAACTAGGACAATCAATGGTATAGCATCAGTGCAGACCTGTAGTGATATTCAAGAAACAGTTATTCTGGTATTTTACAATGGCATGGGGAAAAGTACCTGATCCAGGCACACAGATGCTGTAGAAATAATACAGCACAATATATACAATGTATAGCAAATAATTTTACACATAATTATTTTTGTGCCAATTTCCACCTAAACCATCCTGGTATATAACCTTTCCTGCTATACAAAGATTTACGGAGTGCCCATTTAGGCCACCTGATTCTTCCAACTATGGCTTGTTGTACCCAAGGCTGATGCAAGATGACTCAGAGAGAAGTAGAGAATGTTTGAATCTTCCTTGAAACACTTGAGTTTCCTTTCCTGTTCTGTACTTTTGAGGCAAGGAAATTCAACAGATAGGATCACCTAATTAGGGCTTAGGTTAACCTGCTTATTTTTCTTTCTCTGTGAATGGATTGGTCTATTGAGAGTTGACTTCTCTCATCCCTGTGCTGACATTGTTGGGAATGCATTTACAGATGCAAAGAATGCAGGGTTAGTCTCCTGTCCTGTCTTTCTTTTTAGTTTTCTAGTTTGACATTGACACTAGGGAGCTAGCAGGTAATGCAGAACAGTAATTCTCTCAAAGTAGATTTTCAGATAACAGCAGAAGGGTAGAGGCTGGGACACACCCTTCATTTTTCCCTCTTTGTTGTATATTATTAAAAATAACCAACATTTGCAATGCAGACTGGGAGCTTAAAAGGCATTTGTCATAATAAACACAGACGTGGCAGGGCTTTTTCACTCTTATGATCTGCCTGCAGGAACTTGCATGGCATTTGCAAGTGATGGAGGTTTTTTTTCTTCCTTTAAACTTCAAAACAGAGGCAAATACCCATGTGTCACTTGGCCTCTTTAACTATTTCAGAGCTTTGCTGCATGTTGAGGGTGTGGAAGAGAGATTTCTGCTGTAAGGAGTCTTATGCAAAACCTGAGTTTAGGAAGTCTGGAGAGTATGTTTACCAGTAAATCACAGGCAACAAGAAAGGAAGAAAATTTTTGATCCACGAGCTTGCTCTTCAAGTTTCAGCACTTTTAAAATCATAATCTTGGTATTCATTCTGTGGCAGAAATGCTGAAGTGTAAAGGAATCTGTCCTAGCTGATCAGTGTAGCGTGTATGTACTTGCTAATTAGCACTGTCTTCCAGAGGGTCTTCTTCTAATGCCTGTCCCATTGGGGGAATCCTTTTGCCTCACTGATGCTTACAAAGTATGGGGAAT